ATCGATTATCGATCGGTTCTTTGTTATCCATATATTTATCTTTTTATTAACATCCTAACAGAAGATGGAGTACCGTGCTGATCCAACAATTAACATTCCCTGGTTGGAGGAATCTTCTTGGAGTCTTCCCATCCATCATCTCTCGGCGTCGCTTTTACCTGAACGTGATATCTAATTATTAGAATGATTTAATGCTCGTAAGTTGCGGCGATCATTTTGAGTCTCCTGACGCAACCATAGTAAGCGGCACTTTGTTCTCTTCTTTAAGTATTCCAAAAAGTAATATCTCTTTCGATTCTGCTTCATCTTTCATTTATTTTGAGCGTCTTCTATAAAATGGTACTCGATGACGTTTCGATGATCCAAGGTCGAAACTGCTACCATAGTTATCTTTTATTAGATAAGTGCGTGCTTTCTTGTTTCGTTTGCACAACATCTGCAGATAATTGGCATCGATTTAGCTTGAACGCTCGTGTCTTCTGCCTACGAGTCTGTAAAAATGCATTCTTATTATTGCGTGGGCCAGAGGCGTCATAGTAATCATAAATTATAATTAATGTACCAGTGTTGTAACAACTGTGCCCACCTTCGTTGGCGTATCTGGTGGCACCTCTAGTGTGTCAGGTTATCCCAGAACTAAACTACCCGGTTAGCCTATGAACTTCCAGCGAATGGTCTCTGGTTGAGTAACTGTTCACTACCAGGCGTAACGACCTACAGGCTTTTGCCTATGAATAACTATAGTGTCTATAACCACGGCGATGCTGACTTCATTCACTTGAGGGACTGTGTGAATTATTAAAAAACAAAATATCATATCTGATGACTTATTGTTGTAACGGGAGAATGACTTGGACTTATTGGCTTCTGAATCCATGTCAAGACGCATGTCGTCACGTACACACCTGCAGACAGTTACAAGTATTTATAGTATTGTTTGGTCAGTTGCCAATAAATGCGTCCCCAGAATCAAATTGTACGTATCATTTGACCTGCGGGGTACGGCAAAACTTATTTTTCATGTTCCTAGACGCGAGATATTTAATAAGAAATTGAAGATATCTTGGCAATGCTTATCGATTGGATATTCTGTACTTCAAGTTTCACTTTCTTCAAACTTTGTATTTCCGGTTTTAGAGCAATCAGAAACTTGCGGTGGAATCTTCTTGAACTTCCGGTTGTCTGAAACACCTTTCTCAAACACTTGTACTTGTTCTCGATACCTGATATACAGGAAATTGATACTGTGTACCTATATGGATACTTAATCGGTCGAATGACTGGCACTGATCTCTTCACTTAATAGTCTTTAAGGTCTTAGGTCAGTTGTAAAATGCGAATGGTAACACGGAACTAATGAAATTTCGATGGCAGCCATTTCCGCACGAAACATGAGCGAAGGTGTCGTTAGCCTAAGAGAGAGCGCAGAATCGTTGTGCAAAACGTGGTTAGGTAATAGCAACGTGGTATTTTGCGAAGCCATTTTAATTCTAGGATATTAGGTCCTCAACCTAAGATTTTCACCGATTCTTCAGACACGGATACTAATTTATTTCATTTTAGCCAGTCGCTCCCTGACGTCCCGAACTGCTACTCGGTTACTTGACTACTCGACGGGAAGCCATTACGAATCAATTGACGGTGCGACTATCATGCTGATGAACGTTGATGACGGAGGGACCCTATCACTCTCGATATTGCCATCTGACAATCAGTCAAATGTTACATTAAATTTATTTGACCGACTTTCATATATTTATCTTTTAACATCCATTTTCTTGCAATGTAATTAAATACAAATTAAATCTGAATTTTATCTGTTTTTCAGATCTGGTCAAAATAATCTAGCATCGATTTTTAATAACAATGAGTTGACAGATACTAAGGCTTCATTTAATTTATGACAGGTTCCGCTTGCTACGTGTTCTTTTATCTTATGTTTTTACTAGTTGTGTATTCTTTTTTTATTCTTTTGCGTCTCCAAACTGATGTATGTTCTGTATTTTGTATATGATTTATATGATTGTACTTAGATTTTCTTGTAAATGGGCTTTCTCTTTGATGTTTAATGCAATTTTCTACAACAAAATATATTAAAAATATATATTTTTACTTGGATCTATGTTAGATACAATATTGGATATTTCCTTGTGTATAATATTGGAGAGTATCCATACTTAAATTATTTAAATGAAAATGATTATTTATGATGAAATACTTGTATCCCCTACTGTTTGTTACAAAAATGACGTTTCTGGGGAAAAGTATTTTTAATGTATTTGGTACGTTTCTAAATATTTTGATAACCTAAAGTAGTTTTGTGTATATATATATATATTCTGTATTCCTTCTAATCAGCTGAATGCTTCAGTAACTGAAAGTTCTAGACAAGCAATTTACGTTTTTTAAGCGATAACAGAATTCAAATTTTCTCCAAGATTATGCATGTTGGCAAGATAAAAAATATAGTATTTTTAGTAAACATTCTTCAAAATATCCTTACAAGTGACTGTCTCGAGTAAATTACAAATTTTCTTCACGATCGGTTGATGGTAACACATGAGTAACCTGAATTTCAGGTAAAGTTATTGATCTTCTGTAGTAAGTTGTATATTCATATCCAGACAGCGTGTCTGGTCCAGATGCTGAGAGAGTAGGGGAAGATCATCTCTGCGCATGTCAACATGAATTTCCAACCTTACTTCATGGACGCTCAGTCGAATTCTCTGGAGTCACCCGAGGATTTCTCGTACCCTCGTGCTCCTAGTAGATAAAAAGAAAGATCTTATATAAAAATTGTTACAGATATTTTCAAAGAAACGAAAAATGCGTAAGTTCCTCTGTTCATCGTCACGCGGAAGAGTATCGTGAAGGATGTAGAAAACATGGACTTTCCATTACGAGTAATTATTTGATTACATTTGCCTCAGCGGAATAATGAAGGCGGAAGGTGACGAAGAATTAATTAATAAAATTACTCAATCAACAATAAAATTCTATCTGTGCAAGTTATTCCGGATTCTGTGCAAGGTCAGACAGTACTCTGATATGTCACGTATGACAGATCTCTTTGGCAAAATCATACGAATGATACAGAAGCAGCAAAAATATATTAGTACCTATATTTATTCGCGATATCGTTTCGAAAGACTATTATAAATTTTAAGTCGTCTACTCACGTTCACTACTAGCAGTAACGTCGTATTATTACGTGAGGAGACGCCTGCGAGGCATCGCGACGCCGACGGCCAAGTCAGTCCCAAGGGAATGGGATGCAAGTCGTTTATCACGAATACACAGCAATCGACTATCGCACTAGTGCGCTTGTGTGACTCGTTATAATTCATTCATACAATATTATTCAAACTTATTGCACCAACTGAAGTTGGCTTCACAATAGTAATCAAATTGAGCGACTGACTTCACGTGGTGCTTAGCTACAAATAACACCATGGTATACAAAACAGGCTTTACTCAGGTCTAAGGTATAGCCTGAAGTTGGCTCTGCTATAAATATCAAAGAAACGGACGAACTTCGGTCGGTACGTCAATCCTGACTAACTCTGTATACCGTAGATAATCTAGTATGTTCTTTACTAACTGTTAACCAATACTGTACTCACATTTGATTGAAGTAAAACATTACTCAATTCTTTTCATTATAGAATTTCTCCACGTTTCTCCATTATTCCTGGAAGTATTTCCTTGAGGCTTCTGAATATTTTATTCATATTGCGAGATACATCATGTTTTTGTCTTAATATTTTATTTTAGACTTTCGCGATTTGACCACGTCAGTTCAATCCTTTACTTCGTACGTGAACTAAAGCAGTGGCTTTAGTTCAGTATTTGATTAATGATACGATTACATGTAAGCATATGAATAACTTAGGTTAGGTTATATGTATTAATGGAAAACAATGTGTAATATTAGGTACACCGTTTTTTGTATGTGCTATAATTAATGGTTAATATTTAAAAGATGTAATTTGATGATTAGGCCTCTTACTTTGGCATCGAAGGAAATGGACTGTATATCTTGAAAACTGTATATTTTTCTATTAGCTAATTTTTTTGTGTTTATGCTATTATTTGTTTCGAGGTGCACAATCCGGTTTTCTTTTTTACGTCGAGAAATTTATGTATGTCTCGTGGAATGTGAGACACCATAGACCAGTCAAAATATCTATTGGCAAAGAAAACTAATCGTATTCTGGTACAGCTTACGCTCCCACGACGCGACGTAAAAACTTTAGAACAACACAGAGAGTACAGTCAGTCGTTAAAAGGATTTTAGCTGAAATGCATTCTTTGGGATGTATCTGAGACTATATTCTCGTAACCGTGTATACTCCCCTAAAAGCAGGTATCTGTCCTTTACAAAACTACAAAATCTCAAGCCAATAGCATTCTACGCACAGTTCTAACGGACTCTCGACGATTCTGGTTTCTCAAAATTGTCAGACCGGTTACACACTATGTTGTATTCTATTTTCAAAAGGTCAGCAACGTCGCGCAGTCTCGACGTTGCAGTCGTGCTGCTACGTTCACTATCGTAAAATCAAATTAGCCGGCGACGTAACATAACCAGAAAAGTAAACACTCCGAGTACACGTCTAACCTCAAAATATTGTCTAACGTCAATGACTCGTTGATATTGATCTCAGTTGTCACGCTTATTCATTTTCTTATGTTAATCCAACAGCACAAGGAAATGTTTTCGATTTTTCATCCTCTAACCTCTTTCGTTCTTCACTCGTAGCACCACTGAAATATATTCTCACGACTGCAGCTAATACTCGAGGTCGATCGTGGCGAATTGGTACACTAGCAACGTTAAAAGTCGTCGGCTGTGCTACTCTTTATTGCTCCAACTATTCGAGTATCAAAGTGTGTAACACGAGGCTGCTTCACTGACTGACTGACTGACTGGGCCATGCTTGGCAGTCACAGCTTTCTACATATAGAGGAGCGCGCGACGCCAACCGATTCAGTCTTCACTGAGCTACGCAACAACAAAAGACAAGCGACTGTAAACAACTAGCTTTCAATTAGAATTTTTAAAAGTGCAGTACTGTATTAAGTATACATTATTTTTTGACAAATTTTTTTAGACACAAATCGAATAAAATCGTCGCATACTTCTCTTCGGGTTTCCGATTGTTATATTATCCGTCGTGATTTTTCATTGCGACGACAGACTCTTTTCCGTAGTGTGAAACAGTGTGAAAATATATTTTAAAAATTGCAACAGTGAATCTTCGGTAAGACAATCAAAGTTGTGGGAGTTTTAACGCATTTTCCTAATTAAAATATTGTTCGTCAGTGCGTGTTAAGTTTCATCGAAATCATATCGTCGCACGATAGACGTAAGCTTTTTTCATTTTTATTAATCATCTTTATTAATTAGGCATTTAACGTTTTTAACCAGTCAAATGATCGATCTGATCTATCAGATAATAATAGATATAGTTATTATCTATTGATATTAAGTTGTGCTCATTATGTGTCAGGAAATAATTTTTTAGCAATATTTAGAAAATTGCACACGTGATATATTGAATTTATGTATTATACAGTAATGTATACGTATACATTATTATACTATTTAAATTATATATGCATTATACCATATAACGGAAATCTATTAGTACTGATAATCATTCGTAATTAACAATAGATTTTGATATTTGCAAAAGACAGATGTGATTGACGCAAAAATTCTTGGCACATTTTTTTATTAAGTAGATAATCGCACGTGACATGTGTGAACACAGTAACAAATTGACACATCACATCTACAGTGATTTTCACGCAGTTTATAGACAATTTAATTAGCGACTCCGAATCGGCTATTGTAACATTCAAAATTAAAGCATCTATACATATATATGTACATATGAAAGTAAATAAAGAAGTATAGAAAAAAGTAGAGATTGACCTGGTAGGGTAAGATAACCGATAAGAATAATTTTGAATAAAAGTTTGTCCAATTAAAAAGTTGTGCAGTTAAAAAAACAATTGAACGGTTGAATAATCGGTTAAATTTTTTTGTTGCCAGCTACCCGTCGACAGTGAAAAGTCGATTGGATAAAACATGGAGCAAAATGGAATATCAATGATCTCGGCGTCTTCGGTTACCGAAAATTCGAGTGGGTCTAAAATCAAAAGCGCAAACATCGTGTTGTCCAAGGGAAATGAAGTGCAGATGCAGATACATAAAGTAGAGATGTCGTGTAAGTAAACAAGAAAAATAACGTACCACATTAAACGAAGTCAAAATGGCTTTCGTTATGTTTTTTTGTCGTTACGACGAAAATTCCAAAATGTCTTATCGCCCCTAATTATCATTTATGATGATTTCGTCTTGTCTTTTAATTCCTTTTATGTTGTTCGCTTTAACAACAGTGCGTTATGTAAGAGGACTTAGAGGCATTACATACTGCAAAAGCCATTTTTTATCTCTATTATAAACCCCCCACTTCCCGAAAATACTGTTTTTTTTTTTTTTTTATTACCCTAAAGATTACATACACACGAATAGTCCAAAACTCAAAGTACATGATAATTATACCTCGGTAGTATTACGGCCATTGTAAACTGAAAAAAAACTATCGGAAGAACCGATTGACGTGAAAACAAAAAAATTAAGATTCCTCCAGAGTGCGGGAGAAATGAAAAAATTGTCCAAGGACAAATACAAAATCTCTCACTGACTTCGCTTTTAATGTCACCTTAGTCTATTAAAAATAAGCTAGATTCTATTTTTAGCTGTTTAATTAATATTCGAATCTCGACACAGTACTTCTGTGATAAACTTGTGATATCAGGTGGTTTTTGTTTTCGAGAGAATTTTTGGAAAAATGTAAATAAAGGGAAGGGGGAGAGAGAGAGAAAGTAGGATCGTGATTCACGAGAGTGAATATCGCGTGCAGCAATACAGTTCGATCTTCACGGATCGGAGCTGAAGAGAAAATCAAGTAATGAAATTAGATCACAATTAGAGAATTACGTGCATGTATATATATATACACACATGCTGGAGGTGTCTTATTTATTTATTCTCTTTGCGTCCTTTAACGGTGAATGCATCTCGTGTCTCTTGCTCGTGACTGACGCATCGCTCTCATTAATATGTTAATTGTCATTGTCAATGCCATTACCGGTAAGATTGCCTCAAACGTATATAAACGTATAACGGTAGAAAGAAGCAAAAAAGTTAAAGAAAGATGCAGAAAATAAATTTTCATATTAAAAACAAAACTTTGATATTGAAAAACGAAAAGTTCGAAAAATATTATTAGTGTTACGTAAAAAAATGACTCAAAGTCCCACTTGAAATTTTCTAAATGCTTTGAACTCTGTTTTTACTCAATTTTAATATTTTGATGATTTTTATTGATTTTATCGATTTATCAATTATGTTCCTACTATGGTCGTAATAATAGTCCGGGTATTGGAATGGATTCAGAGGCAGGTGGAGGCAGAGCAGTCGCGGACATTCACCGCGATCCGAACTTGACCTACTGTAACACTTGCGGCTTCACAACTGGCGATTACCAGTATAGTGGTTGTATGTGTTTTTGCATCTGAGAACAATTTTTGAAAATTCTCCATTAAATTAAGTATCTCGTATACGAGGTGATTCGATCATCGAGAAATACGTACTTGATTCTAATGCGTGTGACGGGATATATGTATACCTATAGATATAATAGTTAGCTTGGTGCAATTAAAGCGTGAACTTTTGACGCGTGAGAATTTAAATTTATTCGAATGGATTTTGAGTTTTTTTTTTTTTTTGAAAAAAAAAAGGTGCATATGTATATGTGTATATATGGTACGATGATATTGGATCGATTGGTTGTTGAATTTGAAAAATGATTTCTTAGAATATTTTCGCAGTGGAAAATTATGTCTTTTAATTACGTAAGGTATGCAAGTGGAAATTATCAGGATGCACCTGCATCTTTGTTTGATTATGACGAATGTGACTTTTTTGTCCTTGCGATCGGTTGACACGTAGTTGTTTTTCAAAGATAGCGGTGATGGATTTTTTTGAAAAATTGCAGGAAGTCTTTACCGTGTTTATTTTTCTTATAAGAACTTTCGAAGTTATTTAAACTCTTAAATTACGTAATACTTTATAAGGTCTCTGTAGATCGTAAAAGGAGGATGGCGAAGTAGTAGATAAGTTTTCGTCCACGTCAGGATTCCGGGTTAATACATTAAAAGTCCCGAGCGGCTAAGAAGTTTCTGGAAACTTTTACAAGGAACTAGGAGAATCTAGGACAGTGAGACTTCATCCTTTATTGTCCGTAAGTTAAATGAATATATAATAAAAATTCTCAAAAAATTACCCGAGGGCATTGACAATGTGTAAATGAAAAAAAAAATTTTTCCAAAAAAATCCGACGAAAACGATAATTTAAAGATCTTTTAAAATACGTATATAACAGTCTTTTGGAAAATTAAATTATCCAAAATCTCACTGTCATTATTCAAAGCGTTCTCCAATTTTTGGAATCTTGAACAACTTCGCGGTAAACACGTGGTCAACGAAGAGAAACTTATTCGTACAGTTCAACGTCCTTTTACCTTCGATCAAATTAAATACAGCACATTTCTCGTACGTTGAACGCACAGCTTGGCTTAGGATCAAGCAGCAAGTAGCAAATAACGCGTATTCGCCTTTCCTTTGTTACTTTTTCTTTTTCCCGAACGACCGTCGCTTCGAATAGTTTCGATCACGTTCAATCCGAGTGTCCGCTACGTATACTAGGTGGCGCCACGTATGCACGTGTAGCTGAAGGGATGTTCACGCTCGTTCGTAGCGACGGCGCTCGGCTTCCTTTCGTCAGATCTTTCGCTCGATAAAACCGGACGCAAGAGGCACCTCGTTTTTATCCTCCTCGTAACTTTCGCCATTTCCTCCAGTCTGTGCAGTCGAGTAAAATCCAGAAACGGTGAGAATGTAAACCGGTATGTCAGATCCTTAATGGATTTCGATTCGTTTCCGTCTCACCTAACCTAACCTGACAGCACTTGAGTATAGTAACAATAAAATTACTCGCTTGATGATCATTTGTAAGTCTCGAAAATTGGTGCGCAGTGTTATTTCTTTATTCGTTAAGGACGAAAGGCGGATATGATTTACCCGCCGGTACGGCACTGTAAACAATTGCAGACAAGGCTCATTGTTCCGGGAGAATTTTATCGCGTACTCTGTGACTTTTTCGAACAACTCGGAAATCCTTGTTATTACTTTATTATTAATGACGGCATTGTTTGGCTACCGTAATTAAGTACACGCTTTTGTACGAGTACGATAACTTAGTTTGATTTATTTTATTATTTTTTATCTTTATTAACTGCTTGACAGGTACAGATGTCATGGGAGCGTTCTTGTAAGTCAAACGGTTAACTTGATTGCGAGTCTGATTGCGGTTATTTGAGTCTGAAGTAAAAAAATTTGAAAATTTAAAATGACGGATCCAAAATGGTAACTTGAAAAATCGAAACTAACCGATTTGTATGAAAATTAATATTCAAGGATCTTTGGGGCGTCTGATGACGAATCTGATGTCAACATTTCAAAATTTGAAATTTATATGACATACGTGGCATTCGATGCTGGGATCGTTATTGTAGCAACCGTTAAAATTCGTCGGCCTCGTGGCGAAAGACGTGTAACGTCGACTATGAGTTGGCGGTTTATAGGTTAAAGTAGTCTTAGAATTATAAAAAAATGTCAACGAAATTATAATCTCAAATTCCGAGTCAGTGACCCTGAAAGTCTCCAAGAACTAAGTTTTGTGCGCAACAGACAATTTGGATTTTCAAGATGTTGATTTTAGGTCCGTCATTTTGAATTTTTCAATTTTTTTGTAGTATGATTATATATTTTTACAGAACTTTCTAGGATCCATAAAAGTTTGTTTGAGTGTCTATAAAAAATCGTACAAAATCAGACACTTGGGCACTAATGTATTAACAGATTTTTATGTCGAAGCTTACGCCTACATAATTTTTTCGTTCATAGACACGTGGAAAGATAAATAAATTTGGGATAATGAGACTGAACTCATTTGATTAAATTTGTATGATTAATGATATTCATTTTTTCTTTATTATGATATGATAGACATTTTAAGGACCCGTGAAATCCCCGATATCTTTTCGAATCTGCTTACCGGCGTCCTTCTTCTTCTAGCGTTACAAGTACATATATCCGGTTGTTCTTATTGTCCAAAGAGTCACGGCGATTACGATCGTCATTTCGCCGAGATGAGATTTCAAAAAAAAGAAATGCAAAATTCCCCCCGATCTAAAGTAAATTTGTAACCCCTCTCTTTCGGTCTCCAGAAACATCGATGCCTTCTCTTTTAATTAATGCATTGTGGATGGATCACAAGAATTCTCGTGATTGGTACAGCTAGTAATAAAACGACTGGTCCACAATGTGTTAACATAACGGCATAATAATGAAGTGTCAGTCACAATAGTCCGCTCTCTTTTTCGATCTAAAGTGACTGTCCAAAGGTATAATTCATATACCGGCAGTCGGTAATGTAGACTAAGAATCCCTGCCGGTAACATAAATGCGTATCAGCCACACGGAACCATTCATATCGCTATTACTGAAGTAAAAAAAAGTTTTTAAAATAGGTAGCTCAAGCCAAACAAGTAAGAGACTCTGGAACGCACAGTAAATAAACGGATAACCCTGTTCAATCCTTCGTTGTTATTTGGCCTAGTGGACGCACCATCTTTCGGTGCATTACGCAACGTCGGTAACTCAGCCGGTAAATCGATCTACAATCTCCCGAAACCCAACCTAGAGCGATGCCAGAGCCTGAAATACACCAAGTTCATTTATCTTTAGTCCTCACCAGAAGCAACGCACCGAAGACATTAATATCCAGTGAAGACACGGGTGGGCGGTGGGAAGGTACGACGCCAAAGCAAAATAACATAATAAAAACAAAGCAAAAGAATAGAATCAACAGACCCTCGTCTCGTTTTACTTACATCGATACCTCATTAATTTGAAAACTTTTGCTTCCTCTCCCTACCTTTCTTCTTCCATCCTATCTTTACCTTGACTTCGAAATCAGATATGGGTACGTTAAAATCTTTAAAGCTAATCGACAGATTGCATTAATTTGATTCTCAAACGCTATCATTGATCGGCACGTCTCTTCATTGTTCTATTATCAACGTCGACTTCTTGCCGTAACATTTGTATATATTTGAGCTGAGCCAGGAAAAGGTGTCCTCGTAACATTTGGCTCGTGCCGAGAACTCGCGACGACAATAAAGCTAATGGCGGAACAAAAGAAAACGAGAGAAAGGAGGAGATGGAGCACTTTCACGATTCGGAATAGGACGTAAAACTTTCATCGTAATTGAGAGCAACGTTGGAATTCCTACGTGAAGTCTCTTGATACGTGCAATTGCAGTAACTAATTGTATGCTTCGTACCCCTAGGTGCACTACTGTATATACGTATATATACTACAGTAAAAAAAGAACGAAGAAAATAGAAGCAATAAAGTAAGTCAGTTTAAAACTGTACAGATATTAATTAAATTTTTAATCATGTTATCTTTACACATTAATACGTAACTCGGGCTTTTGATTTACGTCTCTAATTGTAAATAATCACATATGTACACGTAGCATCTACACGTATCTTAATGACACGTGCTACTGTCAGTCTACTATTTGAAATACTTACGTATTAAGGCTTGGCGTTACTATCAGGCACTGTATGACGCATATAGACTAATGTAAACCGAATGGGACATGTGCATGTTCCAATTATGCTCTCGTGATGTGCGTATATATATATATTTGTATATCGTGTATACATATAGCGCTCATTCGAGATATTCCCACTAGTAGAGGTCTAAAACCAGCCTACTGTAACGACTGCTAAACATGTGACTATATATCTATGGTAGAGATTATTATCATACGCGGCGGCCTGTGCAAACGATTAAATGCCGATGGCTGTGCAAACTGTCATTTAGGTTTTTGATGATATATTGCAAGTATATTGTCTAAAGGTATTTTCGGTGGTTTTGTTGTCAAATATATGAAAAATACGATGTGAACGACGTAAAAAAGCAATATTCTGACATTAATAAACGTCAAATTTAAACGTGATAAACTATATTGTGATAGTTGAGGGATACAATTTGTATGATTGTTTGTAATATAATCTGATATATATATATATAATGGGTTTAGGGATGCTGAATATTATGTTTATGGGTTGATGAAGGATTTATGATTTTTTTTTATTAATTATTAATTTATTGGTTTTATTATCCTTTTTATGGATCGATTTTTAGTAACTACCTGTTGCTGAAGGGAATAGAGATATCATGTGTCTGATTTGAGGTTTTATATGAGATAACGATTGTGGAGACAATATTCGAATAGGATTTTTAAAAAATATATTGTATTAGAGATTTTTGGATTTTTGTATGGTTGAATTTTACGTGTTAAATTGTTTTTTGAGTTTTTGTCAAAATTTAGAGATTAGGGATTGTGGAAGTGGGTGGGAATTATCGATTGATCAATTTTTGTTTGGTTAATGATCGTTATGTTGATTACGTGTCTTTCTTGTGTATGGTGTGGGATTATTTTGATATTAACGGTGATTGATTTTTTTTCTTGTAATCCTTATAAATGATACTGCTCAATATTACTTTTGGACTGGTCCCAGTGATTTTTGAAATTTTTATTGATTGACGATCGACTGGAAACGGTGGCTCTGGTCTTTGTGTTCGTAGTTCGTATCAGTTTGGCTGTTTTGAAGGGACAAGATTTTTGGTGCTTCCTGTCGGAGAGCAAAAACGAATTTTGAGAATTCAGAGAAAGATTCGAGTTCGGTTAAACCGCGGAATTTGGATATGGAATTCTAAGTCGTGATCATTTATATGGGAATGTTTGGTATGTAAAAAAGAATATTTTGAGAACTTTGAAAAATACGATGTGAACGACGTAAAAAAATCAATATTCTGAATTTCCGTAAAGCGAATCTTATTAGAATTCATGATAAACATGGAAATATTTTGTAACTCTTTTCAAAGGCGGAAAGAATTGCCATTTTTTCATTAAAATCGTGCTTTTGACAATTTCTCGAAATTACACGAAGCACGCATAAAATAATTTTGATTTAATTTCTTTTTTCATTTGTATCTACTATTTTTTTTTCTGTCAGTCTTGACGCTTAACAATTTTCTGTTTGGAGAAGTTCGAATCTACTAATTGGCAGTAGACGAAAAATAGAAAATATAAAATTATTATATTAATATAAAAGTATAAATCACAATTTATTCTAGCTCTCATTTGTATCAAATATTAGCATTTCGTAAAGTCTAGAACTGGTACAAAGACTTGTTCAAAATTGTATTCGGCTAATCGAAAAAAAAATATTGGCCAATTGTCTGGGTCATTGGGCACAGACTATCATAAATTTTGAAGACTCCGAATAAATATTAATCAATCGTTTCGAATTAAAAACGAACTAAAGAGTAGAATGAAAAAGTAGAAAAAGCCAGATATGAAAATTGAGGTTGAATATTTGAAAATTTATTATCAAAAATTCTAAACTCGACGTATTATCTTTTCTCCTGTCGCACACTCAGATCAATGGAACTGATGATGACTTTACGAAGAATCAGAATCCTTAGAAGCGTAAATCCTTACGTACTTTTTGGACCCTTTTGGAATTTCATTTATTTTTACAGGCTTTAATTAAACCTCCCTTCCACCTTAATTTGAACCCTCGTTAAAACTCCCTAAAATACCGTTATGTTTATTCGCCCAAATGTACACTCTGCCATTTGAGCACCGTACGCATATACGTAATGTACAATATGAGTGAGTGTGCTTAGAAATGTGGAGGTTGATAAAATTATAAAAGTTTGCATAAGAACTCCAATTAAAAAATAAATCCAAAATTTTTAGTGTCATAATTAAATTTAAAAAAAAAATCTTTCTTATCAACATTAATTTACGACTGATACAAAGAGTTGTCAAAAATCGTAAAATTTGCTAAATTATTTATAAACATTAATATCGATTATGAAAATTACTAGCTTTACAAAATAGACCACCTGCGTATATGCAAACAGATTTTCTCTATCGGATTTTCTTTTCCGGACCATAACAACGTTTATGTTTTTCCCTTGAAAATCATTTCGCGTTATATCACAGCATACGAAATGCTGGTAGAAGCGCATGGAACGATGAAATACCAAACGCGATTTACATTTTTATACAAAGCTAACTTTTCCGTTATTGTGTTCTGTATAGGGTAGGTGGGGGGATAGCAGTGCGAGGGCGTCCCGACGCTCGTAAAAGCATTGCACGCTATTTAGAGCAGTTTATCGTGTATGCTATAGATATGATATCAAAGGTATAAAAATCGGATCGCTAGTCGTCGTTTCTGACAGATTTGGGAACACAGTCTAAAAGTTGGTGTCAAGTGTCTCGGGCGACAGATTAAGCATCTACGTGAATGTGAGCGAACCGTATTGAAATAAGAAATTAAAAATCCACCGTTTCAATAAAAATGTCGCGAGGAAATAAGCAAAAAGGTAATAAAATTAACGAATTAAAATATAATAGATATAAAGAACAAGAGATGTACGAAGAAGGAAGAAAGAGAGAGAGAGAGAGAGAGAGAGAGAGAGAGAGAGAAGAGGAAAAGAAAAGAAAAATGGAAGATTAAAGAAGAGGAAAAGAAAAGAAAAATGGAAGATTAAAGAAGAGGAAGAAAGAGATTAAATTCTCTTGGGATCCGGGAAAATAGTTTCTTTCGAAACTTTCTTTGTCACTCTTAATGATCGTTAAGTAACGAAATTCTTAATTACAAGCTACGGCATTAATTACTCGTCAGCTTGCTTAGACATAGACCAACGGTCGTCGTAAAATTAATTGTACTTCGCCCTAAGGATTTTCTCCCTCCTGTTTTCAGGGTTCAGAAAACTCATGCAAGAAGATGGTTCGGTCTGGGACACGTTCCTTATGGGACTGGCCGAATTCATTGGTACCGCCATGTTGTTATTTATCGGATGCTTGGGATGCAGTTCCGGTCTTGGAACTGTTCGCACGTCCTTTCAATCCGCCTTTGCCTTTGGTTTGACTGTCATGACAGTTCTCCAGGTGAGATTTTGTAGTCGAGTTACATGAAAAATGAATTTTCAATCTCGAGTTGGTAAAATTCAAAATCAGAGTATCGAAACCTGAATTTTGATCAGGCCAATTAACGTGGTTTATAATTAAATATTTTTTTTATATATCTTTTTTTTCAGTGTATAGGACATATCAGTGCTGCCCATATCAATCCCGCGGTTACTGTGGGTTCTGTCATTCTTGGCAAAAAATCAATTCCGACAGCCTTAGTATACTTGGTAGCACAAATAACCGGCGGGATACTTGGATTTGGTCTGTTAAGGGTAAAGTTATCTTTTTATTAAGTATTCCCGCCAGGCGACTCTGTCCGAGCGTCAAAAGTACAGTTTGAATTTGCCGCCTTTCAAAACTTTCAGGTAGTCACGCCGCAGCAGCACCTGCACGCCGGCAACCCAGAAGACACTGCCTCCTTCTGCATGACTTTACTCAACGACGATATTACCGTCTTTCAAGGTTTCCTCATGGAGATCCTTGCCACGGGTGTGCTGATGTTCCTGACTTGTGCCCTTTGGGATTCGCGTAACGAGAAGAACATAGATTCCGTATCTGTCAGGGTTGGCTTGACTGTGACATGTTTGTCACTCACCGTTGGCCCTTATACCGGCTGCAGTATGAATCCTGCCAGATCGTTGGCGCCTGCTATCTGGAACAATCAGTGGTCTCATCATTGGATATTTTGGTTTGGACCTATTGCAGGCGCCATTTTGGCTACGTTATTGTACAAGACGTTATTTTGGCCGAAGGATATTGACAAGGATAAATTTGCCGATGATCACGTGGTACTGAATGGCGTCCACTCGCTAAACCCAGAGGTAAACATTATTGGTAGTTCTATATAGAATTATTGACCTTTGACACTGGTTTGATTAAAGTGACTTTTCTGTTTTAGGTAAATTGAGGTACCTCGGAGGATAACAGTTTTTTGTATTTATTTGATATTAAAGCATTCCTGCGACTCGGTCGGTAACTTCTTGAAGCTATTGGTTATTGATTGGGAACTGATTATTGTTCTTGTTGATTATCATCACATCGTACTGTGTTAACGTAGCACTCGAAACAAGAGTTGCTGATTAATAAGGATATTCCATTTGTTCAGACTGATTCGAAAAATTTATTGTACAAAGACTCGGTATTTTTAATTATCCAGTGAAATCTATACGGATCTGTTTTTATCTATGCGCGTGGATGAAATTCAGAGATTTTGAGATTTATAATTGTCAGATCAATTTTAGGCGATTGCGCATAATTCTTATCTTGTCGATTCAGTATTTACGAGATAGTTGTAATTGACCTTAGAAGGATAACCTTTTTCTAGCCTACGTTAAAAATTTATCGGGTTTGCCTGTCAGACCTACGTAGGTTATCCTTCTAGGGTTAAGCTTGTTATTAGACAGTATTTGACAGGAAGTACACTGCGTGCCAAACTGTGTACTCCGAAACAAAGAAAAAGAAGGGTACTTCGTCCTTCGTTTTTCTATAGGATAAAAAGTGTAACTCTAGCAAAGAACGAGAATCGTGAGAGGAGGGAATTCAATGACATTTTTTTTTTCGAAATTTAAATTGTCAAAATCCATGAACTGTTAACCTACTTTGATTTTTGAATTGCCGCGAAAAAGCTTTTGACTGATACGATTTTTTTTTTTTTAATATGCCCGCCAAATCTTGCCACGATCCACGTTGAATTTTCTCAGCTTCCGGTTTGTCGTTAGTCCAGAGTCAGTGAGCAAACTGACAGGCAGACCGAAAGCAGACTCAAAGATAAAGATACGGGAAAGATCCTTTTTTTTTCATGTCAAGGATAAAAAGGAACTGACCCAAAAAAAATTTCAAAAAATGTATTTGTAGGGTCCGGAAGCATTTTTTCCGATTCTACCAGATGCTCATTTTTCAGGCTGCCAACTGAGTAACTTTGCTGGAGTAAACTGAATTTACGAATAAGCAGGCGATCGGTTGTGTCTTCAAGGACGACTACGTTGTAAATCGATTTGAGTGGGAAAAAAGGAAAAAAAAAAGATACAAGAAACGTCACCTGCACAGGGACAAAGTAGCAATTACTTTAACAACATTGTAAATAAACTGACGTAATCTTCCGATAAAGGCACAATCTACTATGTATATGTATATACGATGTTTCGTACGTCGATCGATGGTCCGATCGATGAAATTTTCAAATAGCATAAAGAAAATTCGTCAAATTTTTAAAGATTATTTCAAGCGAGATGGTGCGTCGATAAAAAAGAGAAAAAAAATTGGTTATTCTGACGATATTACTTTAATATTTCAGCTGTATCGCATTTTCATGTATTTAATAAAATATTTTCTCTCGTCCTACCAGCGCCTGATCATCCAACACTGTTATTATTTAATCGACTATACTCAACCGTAATTATACTGTTTTGCTGTGTGCCCAAGTATTATCAGTGTGAAATTGTTGATCGACGTTGCTATAAATAGTCATCCGAATACTTGACGAATATTGTTGTCATTGAAGTTATCAAGGATCATTAGCATAAATTTCACTGACTCCCGTTATCTCCGTAGCTTCCGAGATACGCCGAAGACTTTTCTTTACGTTTTCTAACCTTATTTTAACCCAGCCTAAACGTGGCTTCCAATGTCCTCGATACAAATAACGTAGTATTGAGTCTTTTCTTCTCTCTGGTAATTCACGAGACCATCGTGGATCGATCAAAGAATTGTAGCTTCAATTTAAATCCGCGAGATGTCACTCGAGTCGCTTTACAAACACGTAACCGTCAAAGTGATTGGCTGCGGTTGATTTTCAGTTACGCTCATAAACACGGAAACAATTGGAAGCCTCTCGCTATTTTCTTTCAGGCCAAAAGGAGCTAACACGAAACGAAGTGGTCAAAAGGGCTTCGTACGAGGGTGGCTTCACTTTATTACAAGGGTAATGAGTCATGACGAATTTTCACGAGGACATTTGTCGGTTATACAGAGCGAATAAGATTTTACCATTAGAATTTTATTCGACTCCGTCAAACCGACAGATTCGGATTGATCGATTATACCTTTGATGGATCAGTGTCCTTGTATAAAGATACTCTAATAAATAAAAATACTAAAGAAAATTATTTAAAAAAATGGCGACTTCAAGGTTATCTCGTACCTCTTTGAATCGCTCAGTCCTCTTTTTGCACGTCTTTGAATAGACTCTTTTCTGAACGTTGATTCGGACCGAGTCCTAAAAAGCGTAACTGGGTAGTGGGTATCTTTTTTTTTTGGCAAATTCTGGATTTCAAAGGCGTTTTCAACTGCTGACGTTTTGCGACGGTAATATCGAAACGATGGCAAGATGAATTCCGTGACCTTTTTCTCCCCTCCAATCCTCTGTCTCTTAAATTCAAGCTGCAGGGAAATTTCCTAGACACCCCCTTTGCCTCCCTTTAGAATATTTGAATATCATTTATCATACGCGGGAATATCAATCTTCACTCCTTTTACGAGTTACGACCCTGTGATAATTTCTTGGTTTTTTCAAGATAACAACACAAAGTTCATGACACTTATCAACCGTCACCTGTCAGCTGTCAAAATAACTCGTTTAAATTTATGGATCGTAACATCTCTATTCCACTTAAATAATTTTACATTATTTAACCAAAAAAAAATCTTCAAAATTCATTCTCGATCGATAATTCTTCAATCGTCGTTATGTATTCGATGAAAGTATAGATTTATTATAATAATAATAATAGTACATTTTAATCAATATTTCCATAGCAGATAACATTAACCATTCATATACATTTATTGGGCAACCTAAGTTTTACGTAACAGACCATTCGTTCACATCCGAACGTCCACTAGCGATTGAATTTGATAGGAAAAACAAATTTCTAAAAAAAAAAAAAAAAAATGTTAAAAATCAATAACAAAACTTTAGACGATACAATTTCCTACTATAGCCAATCAGCGATAAATCCATTGATTTTATAAAAAAAAAAAAATCCCTGTAAAAAAATCCATTTCCATTCCTTAACGATTTTCGATACAGTCGAAGTACGTAGTTTTGAAAAAAAAAAAAATCTGAATGAATGAAAACTGGTTATCAACAGTGATGCAATATATCGATCGCCCTACCTACAGCTATACTACATAGATAGTGTATAAGAAAATCCGTGCAATACAAACTTGACCAAAGATTTTTTGAATAAGTGAAAAAGTTTGTTTTCGCAGATGCTGTTATTTGGGTTCTCGTGCGAGAGCCCGAGAACGCGAATAAAATTGCAAGACCACGTGTGCCGCGTCGAGAGCAGAGTGGATATGGACTCGCGTGATATTTGTATTACGAGTGGGATGATAGAAGAAGGGG